CTATCATTCGAGATCGGTTCTAATAAGACATCTCTTTATTTAATCAACTTAACACTTATATACAAGTTTATCGAATAATTAAAATGTACCTGTAATTATCTTAGAATCATCAATGACCTCAGGCTCATCTTCAATCTCAAGTTCATTTGCATATTCTTGAGACATAATAGCATATTTCTTTGATATGATATCCTTGTTTTCCAAACGAGTAAGCTATAACCACATCTCACATTCATCATTAATAGGTAGGGCATTCCTTCCACAAAATAGAGGATAATCCATCACAGTACAAACTTTTCTAAGGTGATATACTAAAGTCTTCTCTGGTTTGTCTTGATCAAATACAATCTTTCTTTCATTATTAGATGATAATACTGGCATTAACACTCCTTGCTATGTTAGTGCATCATCATGATCTGACTGCACGAGAGGATTAATATTAACCACTTTACACCCACTATTAGCTCCATCCTAAAGCTCAAGATCATTTGTTCGAGAAGATCCTTCTGCTTTAGACATCTAATGTAAATACATATTATTTCATATTAATAAGGAGAAGCATCATTAATCAAATCACATATTCATACCAGATCAGTAACATTAACATCCTAGTGGCATGTACAAACTTTTTATTATAAAATAACTTCGATTTAGGCCGAGAATCAACTAAACATGTACCTCTGGTACCAATAAATTTAACACCCTTAACCCATATATATCCCTGTATATGAGTCAAAGATGTCACATCAACTGTATAAAACATTTGCTATTCGAAATTCAATAAAATTTTTGTTTCATTTTAAAATTTCTAAAATTTAATAATTAAAACATAATTTAATAATATATTATTCATTCATCCTCATAATTATATCTAATTCTATCCATAATAAAATAGTATTAATTTAATATTATAATCCACTTTATAATTACTATATGATAGCAGCTAAACCTTGATAGTGTACATGTCACTAAACTAGTCAAAATAACATCAAAGGACGTTCTTACAGATATCGGTCAGGTATGATCCACAAAAAGAGATATCCACTACGCTTCTTACTATGCTTGCTTACTAATACCTACGTATGAGACAATCATACACTAAGTTTTCACTTAGTGAGGCAACCATAGTAATAGTCAAGGTAATTTTGCATATAAATATAAATAAATAACATTACTCAATGCATTATGATTGTTACCATATATTAATATGATATAAACCACATATATTTTCTTACCAATATACTTGTCATTATTCCACAAGCTTATTCATCTGTTTATCATTTATTAACCAATAAATCATAGCCCAAATATAGACTTATGAGAACCTTGGCTACACGAGTCAAATATGAACTGAAGTGTCAATACACATAAGGTCGTGCCCACCATAATACAAATAAGGTTGTGCCCACCAAAGTGTCCTTTATATACAGAATAGTGTTAAATCAACTATGCAGTCTTTCTGCTAGACGCTATGGCATGCCAACTATACCACTGTCCCTCAATGACATATTGGAATATTTATTTCATCCATGGCAATATATATCAATATAATTTCACATTTGGCAGTTTATACCCCAAAATAAAATTCATAATAAACATCATATATAAACTAGTGATAAATGCATTTTATATTAACTTTTGACATATTTAGAATATGTCAAATATATGATAAATGACATAAAAAATATCATGTCAATATAAACAAGTTACACTCATCACAAGTCTTCCTAATGATGTATAAAACATCCATGTATCATGTTATGCATGCATTGCACTCACCTGATATGCTTTACTATTAAATCTCTATGTTCGATATAAGTCTCTCTCTTGTACTTTTTCCTTAGCTTTAAGCTTGTTTCGGTCTAGTTTTCAATCACGATCATGGAGAGCTCACGACAACAGTTTGAAGACGAGGGAGTGTTTCATGAAAATTTCCAACAAAAATCTAAGCACACTTGTGTTAAAACCAATTACAATAAATTTAAAATTCATTTTAATCCTAAAGTCCTTTTTACCCTTTAAAAATCATGATACTTACCGCCTTTCCATGCTTCCATCACCATTATTACATCATCATAACAAATATCAACAATTATTTTATTAACTTCCATCTTGGCCCTTGTACTTTTCCAAAAAATCCAAACTAGTCTATTTAATCCAATGGTCTTGATTTAACATGGAAAAATAAACTTAAATCCAATGATTCATGTTAAATTCTACCTTAATAAAATATGGGAATAACATTATTAACCTCATACTATCATCCTTTAAATTTTCCTAGTTTTTCGATTCGATCCAGTTATCCTATTAATTTATCGAACTTTATCGTTCCATAGCTTTTTACACAAATTTTGAATCAAAATCTAAATTCCAGAGATCTATTCTTAAGGATGAACTATTCATTTATGGGATAAAATTTCTTTTTTATAAAATTACCACTTTGGTCCCTAAACATTTCCTAAGTTTTTACTTTGGCTATTAAACTTTCAAAATTTATATTTTGGTCACTTACCAACATTTTGGGTATTACACCTTGCACGCAAAAACGTTACCAGAAAACATTGAAAATGGTGGAATACCTTTGAAAATTTTGTTCCTTCTATTGCTTCTCTTTGTTTTGGAAAGAATGGAGAAATTATCCCCTTGTTACATTTGTTTTGTGGTTTTTATATCCATGTTACAATAAAAAAAATTATAGTCCTTTTTCTTGCTTTGCATGTGACGCTGACGGGGCATAGACAGCTCCATTGGGGCTATTGTGGCTTGCTGGGGAGACACTGGAGAAATAAGGACCACAACGGGACAATTTCAAGCTTGCTGGCGTGGCAAGGGACCACTGTTGAGGCTCGTGAAGGGTGCATGGGACCATGGTTGGAGAGGCTTCGCACGAGAACTATTCACGAGAAGCTGTTGGGGAGATTGGTGGCGACGGCTGGGAAAACCCTTGCTAGGGTTTCTCACGAAAGTTAGCATGTAGGCTGTTGAGCCTCCGGCTAAGAGTTAATTGGGTCTGCTATTAACTTGGAAAAGTTGAGTCTGTTTTAATTACATTTGGACCGCTTGGGTTGTTTAGGTTAATGGGCAGCTGAGTGAATTTTGGGCTATGGGGTTAGTTGTAATGGCTTACTGGGTATTGTAAATGGATAGGTGGGTTTAATTTGAAATGGGTTTATTTATATTTGAATTGAGCTATCTAGTATGGACACTTTAATGTAGGTATTTAAGGATTTGGGTTTTTTAATGGATTTGGGTGTTTTCTGGTATGATAACGTTTTTGGGTATTTTTATTAAATTGATCTTCGGTGTACGGATTTTGAATTCTAATTTGGATTTATAATCCAATTTGGAACATAAATAAGCACCAGCCCATAAATAGTTAAGGGTATGCAATTGTAAACTAAATTTGATTTGAAGATTACTGATCCACGACTCCAATGGCTATCTAAGCATTCCAATTTTTGCAACTTGAATCGACTTAAACACCGCCACTCGAGTAGCCCCAGAACCGATCTTTGATTGTCTTAAATTTAACTAAAGAATCGGAAAAAATTAGGGTATTACAAAAATATTAATTAGAGAAGTCGAGTCCAGGCTTGAAAGTGTCTATCCAAGACGTTGAGCATTTTAGGTAAACTTATTTTTCAAACTAAATTTTGTATTCAAATCTTTATAAATTTAAACAGTTATCAAACTAAATAAATAACTTAACTTTTGAATAAATTTAATTATTACATTTGAGTAATTTTATTGATGGAGCTAGGGCTATAAATGAGACGAAAGATCACGAGCTACTCGAGATCGATTTGGTTAAAATTCGATCAACACTTAAATCAAATTGACTCAATTTCGATTTTGAACTCGATTAAAATTATTAACGAGCCGAAACGAGCTACTTGATACTCGACTCGAAAAGCTTGCTAACTACTCAAAAAATATAACATATTAAAATTTTAGATTTTTAAATTAAATTATTAATAATACTAATATTTATATGTTATGTTTTAATATATATATATATAATATAAGATTTTCATGTACTTAATGTTTGTGTTCGAGTTCGAGTCGAACTTCAATATTCATTTCGAGTGGAGCCTGAAAATTTTAAGCTCGCGAGCACTCAATTTGAGCTTCAATTCCTTATTTCGAGTTCGAGTAGAGCTTAACCATTTTAAGATCACGAGTTTTTCAGTCGAATTGAGCTCGAGTCGTTTACGGGTAAATGTCTTTCAGAATCAAATCGTTAAAAATACATAGTTTGGTAGGCATGCTAACAAGGGATGGGCACGCATTACACCCTGCACTCGACCCGATCCGACCCAAAAAATATACACCCTCCACCCGATCCGACTTTTTAAGATAAAATATGAACCCGACCCGAAATAATAAAAAATATTATTTTTTATTCAATAAAAATAAGGATTTAATTGGAAAAAATAATATATAGAAGGGTATTATTGTAATTATCTATAAATATATTAGGTAAAATTATTTTTTTGGGGTTTGGCCGAATCGGGTATTTTCACCCTAAACCTGAATCAACCGATCCGAACATTCTTTATCTTTAAAAAACCCTATCCTACCCGAACCCGAACCCGAAATTTTTGGAACCCATTGAGTTCGTGTCTCAGCATCCCTAATACTAACCTTTGTTTTAACTTTATTTAGTAATTAAAACTTCATCATAATTTCTTTTAATAAAACCGGATTTCATGACATTGTGATTGGTAAATATATAAATTGGAAAAATACATCAACACATATGATAATATGAACAAATATACAACAATCATCTTCAAAGTGATGAAATTATTTTCACTATATGTATATAACAAAATAAACTGTAATATACAATCACTATATATATATATATAGAATCTACCTTTTTTTCTTTTTCTATTTTTTTTGCTGTAATTTCTGTAAATGGTTGCGTTTTATATAAATATAAACATATGATCAAATTGGTGACATTCATATATAATATATAATAAAAAAACAAATAAAAGCCTAAATGATAAAATAACAATTAATCGAGAAGTGAAGAAGGGAGGGGCGAATTCATCAAGAAATACTTGAACAAACGCAACGCACGTTGAGGTTGAGTCAAAGGAACTTCATGCCCTCCTCCCCTCACTGTCACATAGGTTAACCCATTGTATACTTCACTCCAGCCGCCCACCTGAATTTTTATGTATATTTCACTTAGATTTTATAATAATAAATAAAATATATAATACACCATTACTTGAAAAATGGAATTTATATAAGCACATGTTTGGAGCAAATATATTTGGTCGGATGATTAAGTTGTTAATATTTATTTCCTCATATTTTTTAAGTCGTGAGTTCTAGATTCGTTATTAGCACTTTTCTTCTTTCCCCTGGAGTTCCCCCTTTGCTCTCCTCTATAGGTAGGATTAAGATTAGATTTGAAATTTGTCAAAATAAGGACATGTTTTAGTCGAATTTATGATCTATAGGTAGAATTAATTATACTGTAAATCCTCAAACTATAACCCTTATTCTAAATTAGTCTTTAAATTTTTTAATAGTTCAATTTTTTCCCTAGACTATGGCTTTTATTTTAAATTGGTCATGAAACTTTTGAACATTTCAAATTCATCCTCAAACTATGACCCTTATTCTAATTTGGCCCCCGTACTATTGGATGTTCCAATAATAACCCTCAATATCATTCAAAAGTTTAGGATGAAATTGGAATATTCAAATGTTTGGGAACCAATATAAAATGTGTTATAGTTTAGGGAAGAATTTGATATGTTTACAAATTTGGGACCAATTTAAAATGAGAGTTATATTTTATATATGAAATTAGAATGTTCAAAAGTTTATAAACTAATTTAGAATGAGAGGCATGGTTTGAGGACGCGTAGTGTAATTAACTCCTTAAGTATAGTATAATATATAACAACAAATTAGATATAATTCCAAGGAAAAAGAAGGTTAAAAGATGAAATACCTCAGCATGATCATCAATCCAAGCATACCAGCTGGTGTTGGTTTGGAGCTTGAGTGCTTTAATTGAATATCTGGTTGCAGTCAAAGGCAATACAGCATCTGTATCTCCACTGTTCACAACATAAAAACTCCTTTTATTTTCCTTTGCTAAACTTAATCAGGTTGGATTAAAATCTATAACTATTGGCACATAGGTATAATATACAATGTTATCATAAAATATGCTATAAAATTAAGTGACCCATTATGTTATATGTGTCATAGGTATTAAAGTGTCATTAAATTAATATGTATATATCATAAGTTGTATTTATAATTTAGTTTTATATCAATTAGATTTTGATTCTAACAAATAGGGTTACAGTCTCGTTATATTTAATTATTGAGAATTAATTAATTTATGTTTTAGATGGGTTTATTCCTAAAATTTCATGAATTTAATAAATTAATTTGATGTTTCGAATATGTTGAAGTTTTAGGTTTTAATTTTCCTCATTAAAGAGTAAATTTGATTAATCACTCTTCATTAAAAAAAAAACCTTATATGACTCATGAATGAATCTAAATCATGCGCTGAGTCTTGAAATAAACATTGTTAAAGAATATGGAGAAGGAAACAAAATTACCTGAATATCCAAATCCTAATGCCAGCTCCAATAAGTTCTTTGATGATAGGTAGCATTGATTTTGGAGAATCAGTCCAGTTTCGTCTAATAACCGAACTGCAATTTTATACATAGATTTAGTTTATTCCTATATTTTTTATCCTATTTTTATTGATCATATAAAGATAATTACAAAACAAATAGAATCCTAAATTATTAGTTTTAATTTAATTTAATTATAAAATATATATATAAACATTTATGAAAGAAATTCTTTTTCTAATATTTTTCAAATACAAATCAGAATTTTGTGGATTGAACTTGAATAAAATATACCAACAGAAAAAAATGTATAATGTCCAAATTAGCAGCTAACATTTATTAAAATGGTAATTTTGGGCCTTATTCTTTTGTTTTGGGAGCATTTTGACCCTCAATATATTTTATTTAGGGTAAAAAGTTTTTAACGTTTAATTAAATAATCACTTTAACCCTTTTTTCTAAAACATTTTGGTATTCTATGTTTCATTCTAGGGTAAAAAGTCCCTTATTTTGGAACGTTAACCGTTTGTTAACTAACGATTTCAATCCACATTTGGGCCTTTTTGTCATAAAATGAAATATTGAAGGCCAAAATACTAAAAATATTAGGGTCAAAATGACTATTTAGTCAAACGATAAGGGCCTTTATTATATTATGTCAAAAAATAGATGAAAAACGATCAAACCTGCAAGTAGTCCAAGGATAAGGAAGACGAGTAAGATTTGCATGGAGAGCCTTTTGAACCAATCGATTATTCATGTATCTTCTGGTATATGCAACTACACATTCATCATTTCCTCTGTATCTCCATGGCTGAACCATAACACAACATATTAATGATGGATCCAAATTGATTTTAAAATTTATAATTTGAAAAACTCGTTGATTTGTCTCAGTGATAAAAATAAAAGGGAATGTTGTTCTCCCTAAGGTTTTGGGTTCTAATACATGTGTCTGCAGGGTGTGTGCATTGTCAATAAGTTAATAATTTTCTGAACAGATACTACTTTGTAATCGTCCCAAATTATTAAAAAAAATCATAATTTGAAGGTTACCAATGGGAGTTGGCGTAAATGATGGTTGAGCCTGGAACTGGCATTGCAAGATGGGCCGTAGATGTTGTCAGGGTTGATGTTGCCGAACTCCTTAAAAGCAGCATTCAGAGCATTGTTGCATCCATCTTTTGGGAATAAAAATGTTTCATTTGTACATGTCTTCTTTAGCTCTTTGTATGTTGTCTCTGATATCAACCCATGGTTCCACCAAAACTCATGTGACCCCTTGTTGTCATGATAATCATCCAAAAGTGGATTGCCCAACTGCTCCAAATTCATCATTTCTTTCAATCACAATTTAAAAAATTACACTCATATATATATAGACCTCCCAAACTAATCACAATGTTTGCCTTCTTTCTTTCTATTTTTTAACAATATGTGATCAAAATGAAACTAAAATGTAAAATTAGATATGATTTTAAAAAAGATACAATTGAGTGAACAAAAGTGATAGTTGGGATACTAAACGTCTATTTATCAATTTTCAAGGGTAAAGTATACAAATGGTCCTATGACTATAGAGTGTTGGTTTGTTAAGTCTCTCGACTATTAAAATTTACAAAATGGTCCCTGGACTATATAGTGTTGCTTTGTTGACTCTCCCGCCTAGTAAAAGTTAAAAAATGGTCACTCGATTATTCATATAGTCCAAACTCATCATTTTCCGTTAAAAATTATATGGTATTCTAAGCTGGACGTTAAATTATGGCTGGGATATGATAAAATCTAATCCATAATCTCAAATGACTATGCAACTCAAACAGTTACGGATAAATTTTCATATCTCACTCATAAGATTATTGTATGGTTTAGAAAATCGTTAATTTTTTAATGCAAATGATAAATTTGAAACATATGGATATAGTGAACCATTTTATAACTTCTAATAGTTGATGGACTCAACAAAGCAACGTCTTATAATTATGAGATCATTTTATAACTTTTAATAATCAGTGAACTCAACAAAGCAATGCCCTATAGTTGGAGATCAATTGTGTATTTTACCTTTTTTAAATGGTTTGTCTTATTTTTACAACACATTTGTTGAATATATATATATATATATATATATATATATATATATATATATATATATATATATATATACAGAGGTAACCATGCAATAAATCTACTATTACAGCTATAAATTAAAAAAATACTATAAAAGTAAACGAAGAAATTAAAATAATTATGCTTATTTGAATGAATTTGGACTGACCAGAAAACCTTTGAAATTAAGGATGGGATTCTTGACTCCTTTGTTGCGACGGACTATAACTTGAGATAGCTCAGGAATATAATGACCTAATTTTGTCCAAATCAAAGAGTTAGCACAAGAAAAGAAATTTACGTAATTTAATAATAATGCAAAGGTTGAATTAATTAGGGTAAACTATAAGTTTAGTACCTAAACTATTATTTTTGTTATGTTTTGGTACTCAAAACTTAATTTTTTTAAATAATACCTAATGTTTAGTTTAGATTTCATTTTGGTATCCCTTCATTAAAAAATTAACGATGATATTGACGTGTCACCATAAGATAATGTCATGTCATCATTGAAAAAATAAAAAAAATGTCATGTGAGAAGTTCTACTAATTTTTAACAGCGGGATACCAAATTGAAACATGAATTAAATGTAAAGTATGACTTTTAAAAAAAATAAAGTTTGAGTACCAAAATGAAACAAAAATAATAGTTTAAATATTAAATGTATAGTTTATCCCAATTAATTAATGGGGGTAGGTGATGACAAAACAATTTAACCTGCATAGCTTTCTCCAGCTATGTAGAAAGGCCTGTGCTTGTAGTTTGGGAATCTCTCTAGCCATTTCATGAGAAATGTGTATGCATCTTTCGCTGCATTTCCATACAAATATTAAACTATTAGTTGTTTGAGAATTGAGCTACATCTATTTATGTGTCCTATTATTTTTCTATATTTGTACGGGTCGGGCTTTAGATAATTTTAGGTCAACAACAAGTTTTGTATATCAGTTATCACTTTTGTTTTGTTTTGGTTATCCAATTATTTATTTTAAAATTATATCTAATATTTAGTTTTAATTTTATTTTGGTCAATTGTTGTTAAAAAATTAACGATGATATTAACGTGCCACCATAAGAAATATCATGTCAACAGTTCTATTAAATTTTTAGCAGTGGATAGTTAAAATAAAACCAAAACATAACGTTAGGTATGTTTTGAAAAAAAAAGTTAGATGACTAAAACAGAATAAAAGTGATAGTTGAAGTAATAAACGTATAGTTTACTCTATTTTTAATAAAAGATAATTTATTTTATTTATACTTATAGTAAACTAGTAATAACGTTTTGTTTAAGTATAATTATATAAAGATATAAATATTGTTTTTTAAATAAAAATAAAATGGGTTATCGGACTGGACTTGATTTATGTTGGGACAAGGAGTTCAAATTCATTCTATTACAATTCAATCGGACCATAAACATTTTTAATAAAACAGTATAAATCTTATAATTTAGACCTTGAACTTAAATTATTTTTAAAAAATTATTTTAGGAGTAATAAAATCAGACAACACAAAGAAAAATTAATAAAAGTATGACGTAACAATGATAATATCAACAGAATGTATCAATGATTAACAATTTATATACCAACTCTAACTATATGAATAAGCTAATAGGGTTGAAGTGGGAATAAACTAAATATACGTTGAAGTTAGGCTAACTAATTCTTGACAAATTTTTGTGCTGTTGCATCACGATTTTCATTCCTTTGTGATTGTGAAGATATAAACGTACCTGCCCTCTTGTCGCCAACAGTATATATATCGGACGAAGTATTCGAATAAGAAAATCCCACACCCGCCGGTGAATCAAGAAATAACAAATTTGCCACTGCAAAATAACATATACAAATAAAAATGTAATTTAATTCAGAATCGATAAATTTTGATCTAATTTGATTCTATCATGTCAATTTTTTTAAAAATTTAGGTTTGCTTTCAGTCGAATTTTATACAAGATAACGTTGAATCAAATTCAAGTCAATTGTGAAAAATCTTAAACCCGACCTAGAGATAATAGTATATTTTTTTTCTATAAATTTATAAATAATTACTATAATACCCCTTTTATGTAGTTTTTTAACTATGTACTATTTAACGTTCGATTAGGTTTATACTTTAAAAATTCAAGTTAAATCGAGTTCAGGTGGAGGGAATATACTCTTCGGGTCGAGTTGGGTCAGAGAAAGAGTATATGATTCTCGGGCCAGATCATGTTCGAATGAAAGGTATTTTTTGCGTAAAGTCAAATTGATCAAAAACTTGATCCAACTCAACATGTTGCTATCTCTATATACGAACATAATAATATAATTTTACTATTAATTTGAATGATTCATTAACTTGAGAAAATGTGCCAAGCGCGCGAGACTCGAAACTAATAGTTTCGGTCAGACCTGATCCGACCCTCTTGAGTCAGTTGATTTAAAAAAAATCGTGTTTCGAATGGCTTCAATTTTTTAGAGGATATGGTCGGGTTTGAGTTTAGGATGAAAAATACCCGACACGACCCAACCCAATCCAAAAGTATCATAATTATACCTTATATATTTATGGATAATTACACTAATACCTCTCTCTTTATTATGTTTATCAATTAGGTCCTTATTTTTATTTAATAAAATTAATATTTTTATAAATATATTTATTTCATGTCGGATTTGAGTTTTATCTCAAAAGAACAGATTGAGTTTGGGTTAGGTAAACTCACCCTAAACCCGGATTAAGTCAAGTTTCAGGCGGAGAATGTAAATCTTTTGGGTCAAGTCGGGTCATCGAAAACCCGATCTAACCCGACCCATACTCATGCTTGAATGTGCCCAACTAAATTAGACTTACACCGAAAACGTGAAAAGTTATATATGAGGCAATATCCAATTATACTGAGTAAAACTCTTTTAGTTTTATATCTTTTTAGGACCATTTGATGAGAGAAATTAAAAGTTGATATCAATAATAGAAAATGAGAAGATATTCATTAAAGAAAATAGTTGATCTCAACCTTTGATTTTTCTCGATCCAACGATCCTAAAAAAATGTAAGTGGATCTAATTTTTATATATATATATATAACAAGATCCTCTTATATAATGTAAAACTCATTTAGTTTTATACAGATTTAAGATTTTTAGATGTGTGAAAACAGATGACTGAGTTTAAAATAAAATTCAAACTCACTTAGTTACATAAAAAAAAAAAGAACTTTTCACAAAATTATCAATTTCCGATCGGTCAATTTTTTAATGGTTTCAAGTGAACCTTTTAGAATTAAATGGATGAAAATCTGACCTTGATTCCAAGCGTAAGGATTCAAACGGAGAGTTTTGCCGTCGGGTCGAACACGAAAGGGCCCCACTTCCTCGGAGGCCCCATATGCGATGGAGGAACAACCAGGCCCACCATTGAGCCATAAAACCAACGGCTTCGATTCAGGTCTACTTTTAGCCGGCACCTTCATCAACCAATAAAACAGAGCTCGACCCGCCTTGGCGTCCACCGTAATGTATCCCGAGTATTGAGAGAACTTCACTTTCGCCGGCTGTCCCGGTAGCTTCACGATCCTATCTCTCGCCTGTTCTTTTCTGTAACCTCCGCCCGCCGCGGCGGAGCAAGAAACCGAGCTAAGAAGAACAACGCATCCGACGATCCCTAGGTAAAGCAAACAAAACGATGAAGAAGAATTAATGTGATGAGCTGTCGTCATTGGAAAATCAAAAATCGAAAACTCTTCAGCTTTATTGTTGGGGGAACTTTGAGGTGGAAACTTTGGAGTTTGAACTCTTAAATTAAGTGTTTCAACTGGTTTGTTAACTCTTCTTGATTGACTTGGAATACACTTATTGGCATTTATAAGTTTATTTTCCTTTGGTTTCTGGGGTCAATAATCAAAATTAGTTGTTTAAACGTGCATGAGGATTTTTATAATCATTTTATTGTTTCGATTGGATTACCAATATTCACCTTCCAAAAAGTTGGATTTCACTGTTTTGAATATCATATAATTATATCGTATAACAACAACATCCTCATATACAGTAAAACTCTTTTAATTTTCTATAAATTTATAACTGTCGAATGAATGAAAATATACGGTTAATATTAACGGTAGAAAATGAGAATATATTTACTAAAAAATAATAAGTTAATTTTAATCATATATTTCCACTTATCCAATGATTCTAAATTTATATAAAATTAAAAGAGTTTAAATTACGTAAACGAATCTTAACCCAACACAAATATATAAGTATATTAAAATATAAATAACGAATTCATTGAATGGCCTTAATAACTAAAGGAAGCATTACTGTCTCCTGAGATCTCAGATTCGAATGATGTGTATTTAGTTTATAATCATATTATACTATTAAAAAATTAAAATATAAATAGCACAATCGTTATATGTCAAATTTTACATAAATATATAATACTTTGAATTTAAATATGATCAAAACATAAAAAATTATAAATATAACATGACTATAAATTAAATTAAATTTATCTGTTGACTTGTTTGTGTTAAAAATATTTTATTTTATTTTATATGAATTACGAGTCTCTCGTTTAACTATTGAAGAAATTTTAACATCAACTATTTAACAAATATATATTATATTTAGTCTTTTGTTGAACCGCACACGATTTCAGCTCTGTCTTTCACGTTCTGTTATACCAGTTCAGCGTAAAAAAGGTCAACCATTTCTACCAATTTGAAGGTTATGGTTAGGGTAGTTCCTACTTACTATATTTTTTATTATTATTATTAATATGGTGTAAGTATAAGACAATATTTGTTCTAAAATAACTCTCAACCACTAACAATTAGTTGGTCTAGTGGGATGAGACACTAGTAATTTTTTTAATGAAACAATTCTTTTAATATAAACTAAAAAGTTATAAAAAAATTAATGAATTGCTCGCGAAATTATCGAGTCGAGTTGAAATTTGCTCGACTTAGCTCGTTAAGGTCTCAAGTTGAGCCAATCCAAGTCAAGTTTTTACCGGGTCGGGTTTAAGATGCTCAACTAATTAAGCACCCCTAACTATATATAAGGGTAAACTACGCATTTAGTACCCGAAATATCAGTTTAGGTTCGATTTAATATCTAAACTTTCAATTTTTTCTAAACCATACCAACATTTAGTTTTTATTTCATTTTAATACCCACAGTTAAAAACTTAACACGTTTAGTATCTAAACTATAAGTTTTGATCCATTTTAATACCTAAACTTTCAATTTTTTCAAAACATAATGTTAAATTTTGAATGGGTGCTAAAATGAAACAAACAAAGAAATAATAAAATAAAACAAAAACTAAATTTTAGGTATAATTTTGGAAAAATTGAAAGTTTGGATATTAAAGCGGATCAAAAATAATAGTTTAGATACTAAATACGTAATTTACCCTATATATAATAAACATGTATTTGTTGAGAGAGGATCATTAGTTGAATATTTAGAATTTTTATAATATTCAAATCCATATAATGATTTAAAACTCTAATTCATTTATTACTCATATTAAATATTAATTTATTATTTAAATTAAATAACCGACACAAACATAATGATAAAGCAAGTCATTTTAATAAAAAAAATTGAAGTTATTTTTAAGGTTAAAACATCAATTAGTTTATGATTATTTTCGTATAAAATCAGATATTTTATGACTGAGATGTCATTTTATGAATCTATTTATTACTAGTTACATTTTCAACGCACCTTGAAATATCTTAATAGGACGAAGGAAATTCAATATGGACTTGTTATAACAAAGATAATAAAATTAAATAAAATTCATTCAGGTCCAATATAAAAATTTAAATTATTATAAATTTTAAATATTTTTATTGATTATTTACAATTAAATTAACATAACACTTTCTTTAATTAACAGCATAACACTCTTTAATGCATATTTAAATGATTTAAAATTTTAAATGATTATTCACTTCTTATTAGAGATTTAAATAAATTCATATTTATATAATTTATGTATTTAATATCTTAATTTCGTTGAAATATGTTTCTTATAATTTATGTTTTTTTAGGATTTTAGTAGAATGTGAATATTTCCTATGCATTTGTATTTGTAGAAATAATATTTTGATATAACAAATAAAGGGCAAAAATATTTTTAGACCAAATTGAATTTGTTCAAATATTGTAAAAATAATTCAAAGTTTTTAAGTTTTTAAAATGTGAAACGGGCCACTTTGGGCCTGGTTTCGAAAGCTCTAAGGCATAATGTAAATTTGGCCTACATGTTTCGAAACCCTCTCAAAGGTTTCGAAATCTCATGTTCAAAATGTCAAAATTTTAAATGAAGGTTTCAAAACTCCCTTTAAAGATTTCAAAACCTCTACGCATAATTGTAGATTTTTCAGCTCCCAACGGCTCTAAATCATCCTCAACGGCTAGTAACTCATTCCAACATATAAAAACAAGTTGACGACACTTGAAGAATGTGACCAACACCTATCCAAGCATTCATACACAAGAGAAAAGTTTTTCAATCCTTATTTTCTTTATCTTGTAAATATTTGTGTTTTGAGCTTAATTGTATATCCTTAGGTTTTGTTTTTGTGAGCTAAATCTTTGTAAACACCAACCTAGAGAGGTTTTCTTGTTTGCACATTTCTTATCCTTTGTAAAGGGGTTTTGGTTCTAGTCTAGCCAAGTAAAAAACTAGGGAGTTGTAAAGGTTACTCTTGATCCTTGAGAAATAAAGAACAAATTAGTGGATTTATTGGAAAATCCTAAGTGAAGAGCTTAGGTAGTGGATATATACTTCTTTGAGGAAGTTTAACCACTATAAATCATTGTGTAAATTTTCCTATCTTTATACTCCTTACTCTCTAAATTTAAAAAATGACTTTTCACCCTCTCTTGTCATATTTCGGTTGATCGATCGAGTTTCATAAATCTTAACAGTATTCTAGACAATCATTCAAAAATCAATGAATTTTCTTCTATCAAAATTCTCTTATGTGTTCTTTATTCGGTTCAAATTTTTTATATTATTCTTGTTTTAGAGTACGTTTCAATTCAATAAAATTATTTTTTTAATTTATTAAACATCTAATATTTAATAGTTGTTTTCAAAAACTATTCAAACAGTTGAAAATTTGGTAGAGCTACTAAAACTAACAGAACTGAAAGATTGATAAATATAATAATTTTAGTTAATTTAGGTAATGAGACGATTATATAAGACAAAATAATTACAAAAGTATATACATAATACAAAGTAATATATATATATATATATATGGGCAAAATCCAATTATATTGTAAAACTCTTTTAGTTTTATACACCTTTTTAAGATCATTGGATGAGAGAAATTAAAAACTAAAATTGACGGTAGAAGATATTCACTAGAAAAAAAATAAGAAATTAATCTCATTCTTTGATTTTCCTTAATCTAATGGTCCTAAAAAGTGTAAAACTAAAAGTGTTTTACACAGTGCAAGTGAATTCCTAACCCATATATATATATATAACATAAGATAATCTCTTCATTATATTAACTAAAATCATAGATTATTAGTATATTACATGAATAAACAATTTTCAAAATATATAAAACATAAATTATTAGTATATTAAAAATTAGATTAATGTGTAACATAATTAAAACATGTAAAATTAAATGGCAAACATACAATATATTTTTACATTAACTAACGGGTTGATTCAAATTAGTCAAAACGAAACCTTAAAACTAGAGGACAATAAAAAATATTTTTATTTTATATAACATGTATTATATTAAATATTTTTTTTGTTTTAAATATGCTTTCACAATACGTATCTTCCGATTACTCATTATATTTTTTAAGTTAAAAAAAACCAATATGATAAATTAGATATAATATAATATCTATTGTAAAAATAGATATAATATAATATGATATGATATATCTTTCACAAAATACATATAATATAATAAATTCATCATATAAATTATGATATTAAAAGAAAAAGGCTTAAAGTAAAAATAAGTACTTAAACTATCTTATCCTTTTGTTTTAAGCCCCTAAACTATATTTTGGTCAAACTAAGTACTTAAACTATTATATTTAATCATTTTAAGTCCTATCATTTTTTGCTTAGAAAAATGTTTTTCGCCCAATAAGATGTTGACACATCACAAAAAATTAGGTACTTTTTTGACTAAAAAATAGTTTAAGGGCTTGAAGCAAAAAAGTGACATACTTTAGGGATTTATTTTTGACAAAAAATAGTTTAGCTACTTAAAGTGGTTATATATTTTAGTTTAAGAACTTATTTTGACTAAAAATAGTTTAAGGGCTTAAAGAAAAAAAGGAATATGTTTTAGGGATTTTTTTAGTTTAAGACAAAGAAAATACTAAAGAAAGTGAATTTTGTTTATGATTGGAATAAATGACTAAAAACTAAAAAAAAAAAAAAAATCTAACCAGTAATCAGTTGCTTCTTTCTTATTTTTGCTCATCAATTTAATTTTTTTACAAGAACTTTAACGTTGATGTTGATGTTATTTTTTTTACCTTTTTAATTTTCATATCATTTCCTCTCATCTAATCAGTATTGATATATTATATTTATTATTTTATTCAGAACAATTAGATTATGACATATGTCAACACCTAATTACTCCAAATAAAACTAAAGAAAATAAATTAGTGTATTTGAAGGAAAAATTAGTCAAACTAGAGATCCTTCGCATGGGGTTACTACATTTATTATAATTCCACCAAAACCTTTATTTAAATTTATCAAATAATTTGAACATATACTATTTTATACTTATCTCATATTAA